AAACAATTTTCCTTTTTTGTCTTTTTCAATATCCTTGTTATTTTTAACAAACTCTCTTGTTGATTCTCAAAGTTTTTCTTTTTCCATATTATTCTGCATTGTCATAATCACCTTCGATTGGTTCAATTTTTTTAAAGTCTAATTTATAATCATCGCTATATAACCCGCTTCATCATAAAAAATCATAGGAACAACAGCCCATTTCAGAATGGGTTTGACTGGCTCCATCAAAATTAAACTTAATTTTCTTTTCTTTAATTCTTTTACCCAACTCTATAAGCAATTCCTTATCAGAGCAAGTTTCTAATTCTATTTTATTTTCTGTCATGCTTTTCTATAAATTCTTCGATTTTGATAATAAATTGTCGTCTTTCATTGCTTCTTTTTCTCATTTCTGCTATCTCCTTTTCTATTTCTTCTCCCCTTTTTAAATCTTTTTCTCATTCTTTTTTGACAAAAACAAGATAGTATTTTCGCATCTCTAATTGAAGTTCAATTGGGTCATCCGGGATATCAAATCAACCAAAACTAGTTCGGCATAAACGGCAATAAAATCTTTCTAAATCATCCGGATAACCTTTTTCACTTCAACCTATAGTAGTTAAGGCTTTTTGATTACAGAGATAACAAGGAGTTTGGAATTGTTTGGGTTCTTTTCCTATAACTTTACCAAAGCCTTGATTTTTCTCTAAATGCTTGGGAGCCAAAAACTCAAAGATTTCCATGGGGTCTTTTTTGGCTAGTTCATCAATCATTTCCTCACTGGCTTTATATCAAAAAGAGTTTTTGCTCCGATTATTTTCTTTGAACTCTTTTTCTAATAAAGAACCTTTGGTTAAATATTCAAAAGCAATTTCTTTTTGTTTATAATCCTCTGGTGATTCTTGAGTTCAAATTTTAATATCAGTTATATCTTTTTTTAAATTGTTGATTATTTGGTTATTCATATTTTCTTATGGTTAGTGGTGTTTCATCCCAACTCAAATAATTCTTATACTTCTTTTGTCATTCCTGATATTCAGGAACTTTCTTGATTGTATTACAATCTTTATCCCTATATTTTTTTCATATTTCCCTTTTGGCTAAATG